TAATTGTCCATTAACCTGGAAACCCTTGTTTTCTCCTTTTTTTGCCCCTAATTCCTAAACAATTTGAGCCATAACCCCCCAAAGCAAATTTTTACCATCCCTTTGTGATATGGTAACTTGTGGTATAATTTCAGAGAGATCCATAAACCATTTCACAAGTTATTGTCTAGAAACTATAAAAATGCTTATTTGTGCCCCATTTTGGCCCCTAATTCCTGAACTGTTAGGACCATAACCCCCAAACCTTCCTTTTGTGGTCATAAACCTTATGGTAAAATTTCATAGAAATCCATACACTTAAACAAAAGTTATTGTCCGGAAACCAACGTGTCTTCGGACGATTACAACGTGATACCAATATACGACCGCAAAATTTTTGCAGTTGTATAAAAAGAAATGGATGAAAAAACACATTGAAACGATGCAACACTCAAATACTTAAAATCCATGAAGTCCATCTGGTGTGGAGAACTTTACCACCGTTGACATATGAAGTTAAAAAGGCAAACATCAAAGCTAGGTTTCTGACAAGAACTTATCTACTACAAGAACATATTCAGAGATTCACTGGAAACACTGAAGAACAGAAATGTCAGTTGTGTCAAATTGAAAAGGAAGATATAGTGCATTTTATACTCAGATGCCCAGCGTTAAATGAACAAAGACAAAGGGTCTTACCAGAACTTAAACAACAGATAGTGAATACCATTGGACAGAATAAGTGGCATCAACATTTCAATGGAAATAAAGAACTATTAATGCAAACAATCATAGACTGTACCAAACTGGAATTGAATATTCTTAATATCAACCAAGAAAACGCAATAGAAATAGAAAAAATAAGCACAAAGCTATGCTATGATCTACATGTTAGAAGAACATTACTCAACCAATTATTAGTTGTAACAGGACAGAATGAGGCAAAAGGTCCTGGGTGCAAGTAATCAAGCATCATATAAAGAGGTTAATTTGGACTAGAAAACAAAATACTATTTAAAATAAATGATTTGGTTAATTTAAAAAAAAACTAAGTCCAATTCTAGTAGAGTTAACTTTGACCATAATAAGTATATCCCCTCTAGGAAACAAAATCAAAAACAAATAAGATATTTTAGATTTTAAAAGTTTTATCTACTCGTTAAACTTTTATCATATATAAATAAAATGAAACATGAAAGGGCGAATATAATTTAAAAACCAAAATATATATAATTATGTCTATAATGATAAACATATAGCTCCATCAAGCAACATCTGAATTTTATAAGTTCTTAAACCTCTAGCGAATAAGAAATACAGAGATTAAACTGAGAATCTATGTGTCTATATGTAAATAGTTCACTCGCACTTTTAGGTGTAAATAGAGTTCGATCATGGTTTTAACATTTCGGTATATATTCTTTTTTATTAAAACATTAATATTTATACCAGACTGTATATAACCCTCATTATTATTTTACTATTAATTTTAATTCTCAAATTAGGGGGGGTATGATGAAAATTTTGTCCTGCATTTTTTTTTAGTTGTAATCTCTGTCCTGCATTTTTATTTTTCACTCTATTTGGTCCTTTTTTTTTATTAGTTTATCTTGACATTTTTACATAAATTGTCATCCTTCCTCTTTTTTTATTTGCAAAGTTGCTCATCCTGCCTTTTTTTTTTTAACTCAAAACTCCTGTCCTGCCTTTTTTTTAAATTTCATCCAAGCCCCCATAAAAATCAAATGGTAGCTCCCTTATTGTCTAATATCCAAAATGTAAATACATGGTTAGATTCAGCATATCAAAGAACCTCAAGAATTCAATTTTTGAAGAAATCAAAAAAAGTTTAATTTTGGACCCTTTTGACCAACTTGATAACTGGGCCAAAAATCAAAAATCTAAATACATGTTTAAATTCAGCATATCAAAAAAACCCTTGAATTCATTTTTTGTTAAAATCAAGCTAAGTTTAATTTTGGGACCCTTTGGACCTTAATGTGGACCAATTTGAAAACCAGCCCAAAATCAAAAATCTAAATACACGGTTAGATTCAGCATATTAAAATCCCAAAGAATTCAAGACTTTGAATCAAACCCTATTGAAATTGGTCAAGAAACAAGCAATTTATACAAAGTACAAAATATATAAGAAAAGTATTGTTTTTGGACCCTTTTTCATAAACAGTTAGGTCCATAACCCCCGAAAATCAATTCCAATCTTCCTTTTTTCAAATAGACACTTTTAAACAACAAACAATTAAGATACAAATGAATATAAGTGTATACAATACAATGAAAAGAAAGATTGCATTAACATGGAGAGGAGAAAGTTGAAAGAGAAGCCCTCCTTATAAATTACCTAGGGCTACTGAAATCACTTGGCACCCATCACGTCATAAACTCGCTTGAATAACTAAAATGGCGTTAGTATCATTAGGATCTATCAAGCCACAAGGATCATATGGCCATGCTTATATTTCATTGGTTTTTGTAATCAATATCATCCGACTTCTTAAAATAAGTTGAATAAATATCAAATATGATATGCCTCACTGACAATAAGACTACTTGATTAGTCATTAATTAGTCAATATTTGCTTATTGAAAATGTGTGCAGATATAACATATTAATAACTAGATATGGACAATCCCCCCCTCCCCCCACCTGCTCTGCCATATGCATGAGTATAGTTCCACAAATTAGATTTGACAAACAGTGACATTGGCATACAACTTGAAATTGTTACGCTGTCTGTAAGACACAAATAAGGCCCCGCCTGACCATAGGAAATTATAAATTTAACACTATGTATGATGATGTAACTGTAGGAGTAGATAGCTAGACAAAACATGATCTCTTTATGCAGTTAGTACCAAAAAAATGACTAAGTCCAACTACCTGCCATTTTCAGAATATTTAAAAGAAATAAAAATCCTGTGGCTATGCACACCTCCATTGTGTGTATGAATATCCTACAAAATATTAAAGCTGTATCTCCAAAATCGTAGGGGGAGATAGCTGGACAAACCATGATCTCTTTATGAAGCTAATACCATAAAAAATGACCAATTCAAACTACCTGTCATTTTCAGAATATTTAAAAGAAATCAAAATCCTGTCGCCATGCACACCTTCATTATGTGTATGAACATCCTACAAAATGTTCAAGCTGTACCTCCAAAACTGTAGGAGGAGATAGCCTGAAAACCATGATCTTTTTATGCAGCTAGTACCAAACTAGAGACTCTCAAGAGCCTGTGTCGCTCACCTGATTCTACTTTGGTTTTGGAAATCATGTTAAAATAGATTAAAATCATAACAGATACCCTAATAATGAGTGAGGCCAAATTTGGTTTAATATTGGCCCTGTAATCTAATAAAAAATCCTGATGGCCATCTTGAACAGTAAATCAGCAACAAAGTAGCAACACTTCATCAGCACCTCATAAGAAACATTTATGCCATGTTTGGTTTCATTCCATTCAGTGCACCTCTAGGAGAAGCATTTGTATGTATTTCCAATAGGGTCTTATGGTAAAAGAAGTCTCCCCGCTGGTGGCCATCTTGGATGATGGATCGGCTTCAAAGTAACAACACTTTGTCAGCACCTCATAAGGAACATGCATGCCATGTTTGGTTTCATTCCATTCAGTGGTTCTCTAAAAAGAAGACATTTGTATGTATTTCCCATAGGGTCCTATGTTAAACTAAGTCCCCCGCTGGCGGCCATCTTGGATGATGGATCGGCTTCAAAGTAACAACACTTTGTCAGCACCTCACAAGGAACATTCATGCCATGTTTGGTTTCATTCCATTGAGTGGTTCTCTAGAAGAAGTTCAAAATGTTAACAACGACGACGACGGACGCCAAGTGATAGAAAAGCTCACTTGAAGGGCCAGGTGAGCTATAAAATAACCAAGTCTAACTACCTGTCATTTTCAGAATATTTGAAAAAAAACAAAATCCTGTGGCCATGCACACCTTCATTATGTGTATGAACATCCTACAAAATAATAATGGTGTACCTCCAAAACTGTAAGAGGAGATAGCCAGACAAACAATGTATCCTAATCCGGACGGATGAACGGACAGGGGTAAATTAATATGCCCCCCCCCGGCATTTTGTCGCGGGGGAATAAAAACAGTTTTATGTCTTTGACACAGAAATGACACTTATCTATGCTATCAAACTGTTAAAACAATACAAATGTTACACTGATTACTGTAAACCAACTTATTTTTGCATTAAGTCTTTTCTGGCCCATTTCGCAGTGATTTAATTTCGTGATTTTCAAATTTACTTGAAGTTAAATAATGAAAGATCCAAGTTTTACATGTTCGCGACGATTTATATTCGCGTTATTTTTCAACTCACAAAGTCACGAAAAATTAGTTGGTTTACAGTATATCTAAAGTTCTTGATGACATGTATATAGCAAAAATATTAAAAGCACAATTTTTCACTAAATTAGCTTTATAATATGATGACAGTAATCGATTACATTAAAAGAGAAAAGCACTTGTAATTTAATCAATTACTTTTTAAAGTAATAGACCCAATCCCAGATAATTTCTAGCACAAAATGATGTTTCTCAAAATTTGGGATTTTTTTAACCATTGACAAAAATTTTACCATAATTTTTATCAAAATTTCACAAAAATTGAAAGGAATTTTCCTTTTATAGATAGAAATATTATGCCTAAACACATTTGAAATCAGTTGAGGCAATCTTGACTTATCATACGACAGAGGAGTGGTGACAGATGGACAGACAGAGTGATTACTATGGGGCACCGCTATCTAGTTGACAGGGTCCCTAATTAACAAAATAGAGTGCAAGATTCAGAAGTTTACTAACAACCAATAATGCCATCAATTAGCTAGTCTAGTATAAGCTCCACAAGCCATTGGGCCATATATTAACTTAAAATATATAGTATTAAGTGTTTGAAACATATGAACTTTACATGGAATGGCGTCAATGCGTAATGCCTTTTTTCATAAAAATATAAAATAAAAATCCCATTTTTATTTTAATCAGACCAGAAGAATCAGAAAAAAACTGACATGATAAGTATGAATATGTAACAGCATCATATTATGTTCAATGTGATCAAGTCTGTAATCTTAATAATCTTCTCAATCTCCTGATCAATGCTTCAACAAATCCATAGTGGGTTCTGTTTTTGCAAAAACTCTGAAAAAGTAGAAAAATTGATAAATAATATGTATATGTAATTACTGTGACTTGATAAGAAGTGAAAAAAAACTTTTGCAGTTCATTCAAAATTCTGACCCCATGTTTCATCAAATCAAACTGTTCAACTGGATACTATGGCTTCATTTATTTTTGTGAGTACCAGTTTTCGTTGATTGAGAACAACTTGCATTTTCTTGGATATTTGATTTTGTTGTTTTGCCAAAGTCTGCATACAACCTTACAGATAAAAGAAGAATGTGTCTAAGGACACAAATGCCTCGGCTCAAGAATGTGTCTGAGGACACAAATGACCCGGCTCAAGCTTTGCAATTTTCCAAGTTATAAAGGGCATAACTCTAGAACAGTAAGCGACTCACTGCCCAAATTAAAACTGTCTGGCAGTTTTGGTTCTTAGCATTGTGTATGAGTTTCATAAAATTTGGTTGAGGCAAACTTAAGTTAGAGAGACGGAAAGACAGACAGAGGGACGGACTGTCAAGGGTAATAGTTAATGCACCCGTTGCCTACGGCTGGGGAATAAAAAATTCCAATTCATTGAACATTTCAATTTGTGGTCTGCCTCGTATCTTGACTTACATCTAGAAATTGACACTGAGGATCACTTTACGACAAGAGTTTATTTCAGCTTCTTATTGCGAACTTTTCATTTCTATGTAGCAGCATTTTAGTAAGGCCTGCATATGGAGTATATATCTCCCAGTTAATACTGTTGAAGAGCTTGTATATCCTATCATGATTTTCCTGCTGCTAACAAAGAAGCTATTAGCCCTCACACACAATAATTTTGTATTGTATTTCTTTCAGACAATAAATTCAAATTAAAAAAATCGCACCTGCTTTATCTCAAAAAGATTTTTACAGAGTAGTGTTTTACTTTTGGGACAAATTATATCAAAATTATACAAAAGTCTGTAATTCAAAACCTGATTGTTCTGTTATAAATTAGGCCATTAGTTATCTTGAATGAATTGTTTCACATTTTTCATCTCCAAGCTTTTTATAGCCGCCTATACATTATGGTTTTTTCCCATTGTTGAAGGATGTATAGTAATTGCTTACATCCACTTCATCTGAAAACTGGTGGATCATACCTATCAACCTATGAAAATGAAAATGCAGGTCATGACCTACATTGAAGAAGAAAATCATAGGTCATAACGCGTACAAACTTTTTTCAGGTGAATTTAAGTATTGAGAGGACATTTTTTTTATATTTTAATCGAACAGTTTCCAAAACATATTCACATGGTTAAGTATTAACTGAATATAATTTAAAACTTTAATTTAATTTTTTCATTGCATTTATAAACCATTGAAATATTAATGTATGATACTATATCAATTCAAGCCAAGCCATACCCCCTCTTATTGTTTCTTTCATAGTTTTAAATCAATCCACAAGCCACCCGTTTCACAGTATATACTGACTTAGTTCTAAAGGTCATAGAATTTGATGTAGCCTTTGTTGTTGAAAGGCTGGAAATGTTTGAAAATAGGGTCAAAATCACACATTTCGATTCTGTTTGAGGAAAAAATGAGCCTGGTGACCCCCTTTTTCTTTGAATTATTGGGATTCAGCATAAAAAGATCTAAAAAGTATGTGAAAATAAAAAATCTACTGGGATTCATTAGTGGGGTGTGCTACGTTAAGGCTATATAGAATTAATATACAGCTTTACTTTATTTTCTATCTGGAGGTAGTTGATATTAGAATACATAATTTTAAATTTAAGTATTTAAAGGAAATACGATGAGGTTTTTTTTTTAATGACCTTGACTACACATGAGGGTCTTGCATGGTTGGTAAAGGAAATAGAGATGAAAAACAGACCAAAACGCAAACACTTAACATTGACCAATTAACCTTGAAAATAAGGTCAAGGTCAGATGAAACTTGTCAGACTGACATGTACCCATAACAATCATTCTATACACCACATTCTCTCTGTGTGTTGTCATTCTTAGCATTGTTTATGAGTTTCATAAAATTTTAATGAGACAAACTTAAGTTTAGAGTGCGGAAACCGAAAAATTTGCAATTATCAAAGTAAAAAAGGGGCATAACTCTAGAACGATAAATGACTCGCTGCCCAAATTGAATTCTGTCTACGAGTTTTGGTTCTTACCATTGTTATGAGTTTCATAAAATGATGAGTAAAACTTTGTTAGAGTGTGGAAACGAAAATTGGACGGAAAGACGGACAGACCATCATGGGTAGCACTTAATGCCCTCATTGCCTATGGCGGGGGCATAAAAAACTTTTTTTTTTTCAAGCAGTCACTGAACCATGTAAATAAGGTCAAGTTCAATGCAAACAAGCATTGTGAGTATTGCATGGCAATACATAGTCCCCTACCCGTTAAAAATTCATTGTAATGGAAAGAAATTCTAATCTATAACTTGTCATCGTGTAAACTACATAAAAATATCAAGTCAAAATCTTCAAGCATGACAAAAAAACCGTTGAAAACAGATTATTTAAGTGAATTTTCTATGTCCAAAGACCATAACTTTGCACAAAATTATCAGACTGGAACAAAATTCCAACTTGATCTGTAACTTGTCATGATATAACTATATACTAATTATCAAATAATATCTTCAAGAATGACAAACAAACCTACCACTAAATTCTTCAAACAATTTACCAAAGAAAAGGAAAAAAATCCAAAATGTCATTTTGTCTTTTAAAAAATGAGTTATTTCCCTTTGAACAGAAATCTACTGATTAATAAGTATTTCATCAAAAATTTAATTCTAGGGAAAGGGCTTTAACTGAACAAGGAGAAAAGCTAAAGTCGTGAAAATTGAACTTGAACTGTAACTTGTCATGATAAATCAATAAACCAAATATCAAATCACTATCTTCAAGCACGAAGAAAAAAAGTCTGGAAAACTGATTTGCGGCACTGACTGATGGACAGACAGACAGACAGACAGACGGACAGAGTGCAAACCTAAAGTCCCTTCGACTTCGTCGGTAGGGGACTAATAAGACAGACGGAAACTTTGTAACATAAGGTATCCCCACACAAGGTATTAAGCATCCAGGTCTTCTACCTTCTGAAATATAAACCTTTAAACAAATAGTTTGTGCCACCACCACCGCCAATACCTATGTCTTGATACTGTAACTTTTGTTGCAGGCCACATAATGCCAAAATGAGACATTATTACAGAATATCTATCAAATAAAGATGTAAATGCTTTACTTTTATACACTTTGACAAATTGATACCAGCAAACATTTTTGGGAAGTTGCCAAAGTACAGAATCTACATTTACTTAAACCATTGTCGTGACGTCAGCCTATTCATTTACCATGGATTCTTTTTCTAAAATCAACGTTCCTAAATCTGTCGCTGAAATGGACTCACCAAATTATATTCAATTGTTTCCTTTGTGTGCCTAATTTCATTATGTTAGAATTGGCTAATTTATTGATTTCTGTTCACTAATGGAATTAATTTAAAAACTTACCCCTATTTTTTTAAATTTTTATATGCCTTCACTGGGAATCGAACCCCTCCCTGAAATCTGTTCAAGTGTGACTGACATTAACACATCAACGAAACCTCTCAGCTACCAATGGGTTGCAATTTCAATGTCTATTTTATATATATAAATGAACATGTGATACACATAAGTACAAAGGACACACAGGGTTTGTACCTTTATGTATACATAATACACAATCGTATAGTATAAGTTGGTAGCCGAGATGTTAACACGGTTAAGATCAATGAGTTAAAGAGTCAAGTTAAAGGTAGAGACTTGTCGGTTTAGGTTCAAATCCCTTTATTCTCTATGTTGTCCCTTTTCTTTAGTTTTTCCGCATTTCTTATTTTCGTATGTTATTGTTGAAATTTTTTGTAATAATAGCAGGTTTTCAGATTCATTTTTAGATTATTATTGGCTATTTCACATATTTGAAAAGAACATGATTACATTCAATTTGTCCATTTTTGTTTTATAAATCTAGTATTCTTTCACCTTTTTTACTCAGATCTTAACAAATGTTTATTCGCAAATCCCTATGCGAGTAAATCATGATATGCCTAGAATTAGGCTTCTTGCTAGAAATTTTGGTAGCATACTGGATTTGAACCTTATTATATTTACTTAGAAATAAGTTCGAATATGTCTTATTTTGTAAATAACAGATGATATCCAGATGCCTAATAATTTAAAGACAGACGTGTTATGTCATATTTGTATTTCTCTAACCAATTAAATGTGAACTTAGATTTATTAATGCATCGTTGAACATGATAACATGGTTATTTAAAATCACTTACAATACCTTCCAATTAAGAAAAGGCTTAAATTTTGAAAAGACATCACAATAGTTTACTTTAGAGATACAAGTATATGTTAGCACATACTTACAACTTCTCGTCCAATCAAATTGCTTATATTTGCCTTCTAATTTTTATAGTACATACTTTTCCCGTGTACCAAGTAACTACGCATGAATGACCACAAGGGTAAGATTTCATTGTATCGTAATCAAGATATTTAAAACAAAAATTGCCACTGGCTATTTTGAAATAAAATACTGTGTTCCAAATTAAATTAAATAGTTTGTAATTAGTTTTCACGTTGATTTTTAAATATCCTGCTATTAAAATCTTTGGATCTAAAATATGTTTTTGACAATTGCAAATTTTTTCATTTAAATAAAGGGTAATACATATAGTTCTTTATACCTTGATTAGAGTACAACGATATCTTAAAATTATGATAATGTATCATCCATGCAATTACTTTGTACACAAAAAAGTGTGTACTATGAAACCTTGTGAAGGGAAATTAAAGCAACTTGGTGATAATTTTTTAAACTTTCTTAAGGAAGGTGATCTATTTCGTCATGAATTGATTGATTTATTGATTATTGGTTGCTTAATTTCCAGTGGCAAATATTTCATGCATGTTCAGGACTATGTCATGAATTGAAAAACTGTGATTATGTCTG